TTACTCTACACAGGGGATAATGCTTTGCCCAGAAGCCACAGGGTGCCAAATGAAAAACTCAGGACTTTAGTCAGTTTCAGTACTTTTAGCTGTTAGTCAGGGGTAGCCTAGAGGCGCCCAAAATAATACCATCTATTTCCATTGCTCTTGATTTTCCTCTAGAACTTGATAGTAAAACCATATTACTGAAGATGCCACATACTTTTATCATAGAGAAATCAAATTGGTATGACCAGGAAGCATCCACCCTGCTGGCTAGGTTTATAGTACCAAAGGGTGCTGTGCAGGCTTCTGGGCAAGAGGAGTTATAAACAGTTTTACCAGCTATGACTCCTGTAAGCTACAATAGGAACCAGTGTCACAATATATGCCCATGAACACAGCAGTGGCATGAACGTTATTGTGTAACAAACAACTTTCTGATTGAATTTAAGGCCCACTCCACAGGAGGAAACCAATGCCTGGTACTGTAAATCTGGCCAAGAACACAGGGTTGGTGAGCTTATAGGCAGAAGACCACATTCCCTGAACCAGAACTTGAAGGAATAAACAGATAAGCAGATCAGACAAACATGTCCCAACACCACCTTACAGCGTCTTCACCAACAGGGAGGAAAAAGGATTTTGACACCCAGCTTTTGGCATCATTTTGGATCAAACTGTGCTATAAGCAGGATGCTTTTCGAGGTCATCATGGGGCAAATGCTTTTATGACTTGGGATCTGTGTAGAAGCATGTGGCAATTTGCATATCTTTTCCTGTGTTAGACAGAGACCTCTGGCCCAGGTTATAGAAACACAACATGCTGAACTTCATAGCTACCTCCCTCCTGTGGCTGTCTACATCCATGCCAGGACAGTTTCTGCTCCCTGGCATCAGCTGCCAGGGTGCTCAGAAGTTCACTTGAAAGCAGAGAAGCACAGGAAAGGGGTTCTCTTGGTGACAGTGAAATAAACAGCACTTGTTCTCGGGTGTCCGGGCCCAGTGCTGGGAAGAGCCCTCAAGCTGATTCTTTCTGAGCAATCCATCACTCCTTCTCACCAGTACTTCTCACTCTTCCCCAGCCTCACGGCACCATCCTCTGCTACCTATTTCTCATTTTCTTCTTTCTGTTTTGTATGTGTGAAGTATGTGTATCCACGCAGGGACCAAAGGAGGACATTTGGTATTCTCCTCTGTAGGAAGCCCTGAGGGAATAAAGTCCTGGGTGAATGTGTGCTGTTGACATGGGCACAGCCATGTCAAGGACCAATGTCTTAATTCCATGTGAGTGACAAAGCCTTCCCTGGGTGACTTAGAGAGATGGCAAAGTCTTCCTCTAGTCTGCATGTGAATGTTGATAGTGTGTGCAGAAAATGTCACTATAGCTTACACACACACACACACACACACACACACCACATTTGTGGCCTAAAGACTGCTCCCCTACAGAGACTATGGGATTACCTAAACTTGCCTCTTTGTTCGGATGTATATAATAAACCCACCTCCTTCCTCTGCTATATGCAATAACTCTGGTCCCCTATTCAACTGCATACAATAAATACACTGAGTTCTCTACCTGAGAGCCCAGAGACCACCCGATCCCCACTTTTCTGTAGGTGTGTCTGTCCTTTCTTCAGTCCCTCTCAGCCCCAGGTATGTCAGTCCCTGGAGCCATGCAGAGTGTGGCACTCCTCTGTCACTCTCTGACTTATGCTCTTAGGACAGTGTCTCTCACTGAATCTATAGCTCAGATTTTGGTTAGGCTGTCAAGCAGCAAGGCTCAGCAATCCCCCTGTGCCTGGCGCCTCCACCTCAGTGCAGACAGTAGAGGAGCTTATGGCCACTCCTAGTGTTGCGTGGGTGCTAGAGAGCCATCAGAATTTCTGCTTGCAAAGCAACTACGTTTAAGTCACCTACCCAAAACAAGTGTATAATTAGAACTTGTTCATTGGAAAGGACACTATAAAAGCCTGGATGAATAAAATGCAGAAATGCATCATGTCTGCCCCACCTATTTTTTTCATAACTGTCTCCACTGTCCTCCTCATTCACCAACAAGATTTTGTTCTGGGCTCCATGTTGCCTCTCGTGGGCCAGGTGGCAATAACATAAGTTGCATAAGCAGTTTGTAACCCTACTCTTCAGCCCCTTCTAACCTTGTTTTCACTTTCTTGAAGACACTGTGCATATACCCTGGCTCTGGACACTGAAGTCTCCTGAGGTGAGTTTAAAAAAGGGGTGAGCTACTGTTTGTGTCTTAAATGCTGGTGCTCTCACTCCTGGCTTCCTCCCTGGAGAAGGGAGATACATATCCCAGGAGGATCTTGTTCTTTGGTTGTGAGTGCCAGCTGTGGTCACATCCTGGAGTAGCTCATTGGAGAAGATTCAGATGTGCACTTCAAGGGCAGGCTGGTACAGAACACATCCTCAGAGATGGTGTAGCTCTCAATGTTCCCTCAATTGATGGTCATATAATGAGCAGCCTCATAAAATGACCAATAAGAAGCAACAAAATTAAAAGTCATTTTAATAATCCCCACCTCCCATGACCAGGCAAATTCAGCCTATTCCACAAAATAGAAAGGGAAGAAACACATCCAAACTCATCCTATAAAGCTGATACCCCAATTCTAAAACAAAATAATTACACCATAACAAGAAAAAGCGTTAAGTCATTGTCCTTGGTGAACATGGATGCAACAATCCTTGATAAAAATACTCAATACCAATGCAGTCTCACTGGGTATATTAGCCATACCTTATTAAGATCAATCCACGTGAGTCTATTTAATGGGTAGTAGGGATTTATTAGCATATAAATTGAGGAAAAATACTCATGAATACAGAACGGAGTAGACAACTGAAGTCATCCTCTGATCTGACCGGGAGTGAATCCACCTCTCCATAGCAGGGAGGGAGAAGGAGCTTGTGACCCTTCTCCCTTTCCTTTTAAGAGGTCAAGTACAACAGCAAGAAGTACTGCCTCCTTCAGGCCCAAGGTCATGGGGCAGAGCAAATACCACTACATTTCCCCTTTTTATCTAAATAGGAAGCTTCTAAACTTAATGCAAACTACACACAATAAGAATGATTATCAAGTATTGTCCAGGAAAAACAAAGGGTAATAACATAAACAAAAATGGAACTACAACCAACAAGAACAACATCAAACAAGAAAGACATGCTAAATGTCCAGAAATGTCCAGATCATAGGTAAATGGCAAATTACTGAGATTACTCCAAGAGCTGTCCTATCCTGATCCTAACTTTAGTATCTAAAATGTTCTTAGCTAAGATATGAGAGGATTATAACTGCAACTATCTAGTCTTCAACCCCATCAAAGACCTGAGAAGGAAAATAATAATACCTGAGAAAACAGAAAATGCAAACAAGCAATTTCTGAAATTCTTGCAAGAATAGACAGAGACAGCTGGCAGCCTGGACAGTCACCTAAAGTTTCTCAGCATTGTTGGGGCACCCAATTTGGCTACAGCCTAGAATATCTGACAGACCATTTTCAGAAGCAGGAATTTTGAAAGACCACCTTACCCTGTCTTGGCAGAGTTCAGTAGTTGATTTTCCTTGTGTCCTGCTCATCCAGAAAGGACAGCGTTCATACTGTCAGCAGTCAAGACAAGGGCAGTTCTTTGCCCAGCAGGCCATTTTGTGACAAGAGGAAGACAACTTCCAAATGGAAATGTCTAGAAGCCCAACATTCTCTTGGGATCAGATTGGTGCTGCCAGGAGCAATTGTGTCTCACGTCAACAAAATTCTAAGTTATTTAAATGCCATATTCTCCAGGTCTATGAAGTGTTTGAAGATTACCTACCCATCTGACACATGTTTCTGTAAATCTGGACAACTTAACTAATATAACTATAGAAATGACAGCACGGGTGACATTAATCTGTAAGTCTTCCCTACTTAAATAACCTAAGGACTAAGGCTTCACGTTAACAAGGTAAACAGTCTGTAAGCAGATGTACTGTATAAGGACAATAACCTCAAAATTGTGATAATACACAAAATATCTTAAACAAAGGAAGAAATGTATAGTGCAAGATGACAATATCCTTAACATGTATAGATATACAAAATATCCTAAACAGAGGTAGAACATACATACAGTAGGACAAATATAATTTTACATTTGTATCAATACACAAAATATTTCGAACAGGAGTAGAAATATATGTACAATACAACAAACATAGATTTTGTATTTGTATTAACATACAAATTATCTTAAATAGGAATATAAGAATAGTTTACATTTGTATCAAATATACAAGAATCCATATCAGTGCAAATTATCCAAGGCTGATAGTTTGCTAAATCAGTTTACTAGTTGATACAATAATCTACCTTAGGCAGCCCTGACCGAGCGGGGCGGGGCGGCTGGCTGGAGGAGCAGGCGGCGGCTGGAGCCAGAGCGCGATGCCACGCGACCGCGGCTTCCAGAGCTCCGCCTAGCTGCCCCACCGCCGCGAGCCCTCCCGAGGCCTGGAGGAGTCCCGGCCGTCGGCCCCGGTCGTCGAGTCCTGAGACCGGGGACGCGCGCGGCGCCCCGAGCCTCCGCCGCTTCCTGCTGCGGGCGGCCGGGCGGGCGGGCGGCCTCCTCCGGCGCCTCCCTCCCTTCGCTGCCGCTCCTCCGCACTGGAGCCCGGGGGCGGCCTGTGGCGCGGAACCCGCTCCGGACCGCGCGTCTTCGGACCTTAAGGAGAACATGCATTCGTCTTGGACTGTTTGAAATGCTTAGTTTGGGGTCCCCGCTCGCTCGCTTTTTCCGCCCCGCGGATTTTCTGAGGGTTTTTTTCCCCCTCTCTCTCTCTCTCTTTTTTTTTTTTTTCATTTTCTCCCCTCGAGGCTCTTTTGTAACCCCCCCCTTTATGTTCCCCCAGCCCTCCACCCGCTCCTGAGTAGTGGGAGAGGGTTTAGGCCTCCAGGTTCCCGCCCCACCAGGGCCCGGGCGAACATAGGGGGGGGCAAGCAGAGCACGGCGGCCCGCTCTCGGGGCCCCTTCCCGGGGGTCTCTACCGATGACAGCCCCCGCCGGGAGGAGCGCCCCACTTTGGGCACTACCGGACGGGCGGCGGAGCTATGGGGCTGCGCAGCCGCTCGGTTAGCTCGGTGGCGGGCATGGGCATGGACCCCAGCACGGCCGGAGGGGTGCCCTTTGGCCTCTACACCCCCGCTTCCCGTGGGACCGGCGACTCGGAGAGGGCGCCGGGCGGCGGAGGGTCCACGTCGGACTCCACCTATGCTCACGGCAATGGTTACCAGGAGACAGGCGGCGGTCACCATAGAGACGGGATGCTGTACCTGGGCTCCCGAGCCTCGCTGGCGGATGCTCTACCTCTGCACATCGCACCCAGGTGGTTCAACTCGCACAGTGGTTTCAAGTGCCCCATTTGCTCCAAGTCTGTGGCTTCTGATGAGATGGAAATGTACTTTATAATGTGTCTGAGCAAACCTCGCCTCTCCTACAATGATGACGTGCTGACTAAAGATGCGGGGGAGTGTGTGATCTGCCTGGAGGAGCTGCTTCAGGGGGACACGATAGCCAGGCTGCCTTGCCTGTGCATCTATCACAAAAGCTGCATAGACTCCTGGTTTGAAGTGAACAGATCTTGTCCAGAGCACCCTGCTGACTGACCCTGCTGGGCTGGCTTGCTGACTCCTCTCAAAGGGACAGACAGCCCTGGTCCTGGGAGGAGGCTCCTCGGACACTGGACAGAGCTGAGCTTGGGACACCAGAGGGAACAGGGCACCCCTTCTGCACTGACTTCCAGAACATGGTCCTCCCTCCTCCCTGAGGACACCCAACTGATTGAGAGCGAGTCTGAGAGAAGAATGAATTGAATTGACCTCTATCTTTCCCCTCACCTTCAACCCAAGAGGGAAAGGGCATTTTCTTTTTCACCTTTGAAAGGCGTTGTGGGTCTGTCCTTAAAGTGTTTACAACAACAAAAAAATTATATAAAAAAATCTACCTTAATATACTATACCTATCCATTCCTCTTTTTCTTTTCTAAAGGAGAATGCTGAGTCTAAATTTTAGTGTTCCACCCCCAACCCTATAACCATCCATCCATAACCCTGAGAAAAATGAAACCTGTGGGAGAGGGGGTGTCATTTTCTTAGAATTGCTTCCTGCTGTTTGGGGGCAATGGTTTCCCTGTGGGGTCCTGTAAGAAAGCTTAGATAGTTAGGTCTCAATAGGGCTAGCTGTAGAGTCTGCAGCCAGTCTTAGAGTAATGGGTAAGATTGTCTGAGATTCTAGCCAGAAGTGTAATATGATGGACCATCTCATCATGGAACTGTCCTGGGGAGTTTTCAGTCCAAAGCTGATCATAAAAAGCAACTGAAAACAAATGCTGGCAAGGTTGTGGAGAATGAGGAACCCTCACCCACTGTTGGTGGAAATGCAAAGTGCCGTGGCCACTGTGGAAATCAGTATGGAGAACCCTCAAAACACTTTTTAAAAATATCTACCGCATGACCCAGTGTAGCACGAATCTTATCAATAAAAACAAACTCAGGGCCTGGCATTGGGGTGAACGCTGGAAGATCAGAGAAGCAGAACAAGCCACAGCCACCTCACCTCGCCAAATCCTCAGGTGGTCGTGTTTCCTCAGACTGGATGCCTCTCAGCTGAACTGTGCTGCTCAAAAGTCTAAAAGCTTAACCAGGCTATAGTTCCTCGTCCTCACTCCTAAAATACCTTTCTGCTTCCTGCCATTACTTCCTGGGATTAAAGGCGTGAGTCACCATGCTTGACTGTTTCCAGTGTGGCCTTGAACTCACAGAGATCCAGGCGGATCTCTGCCTCTGGAATGCTAGGATTAAAGGCGTGTGCTACCACTGCCTAACCTCTATGTTTAATATTGTGGCTGTTCTGTTCTCTGACCCCAGATAAGTTTATTAGGGTGCACAATATTTTGGGGAACACAATATCACCACAACCCAGCTATACCACTCCTTGTCACATGCCCAAAGGACTCAACAACCTACTCCATAGATACTTCCTCAGCATTTTCCTTGCCATTCTATTCATAACAGCCAGGAAATGGAAACAACCTAAATGTCCTTCTACAGACGAATGGATAATGAAAATTCAGTACCTATACACAATGGAATATTATTCATCTATAAAAAATGAAAATATGAAATTAGCAGATAAATGGATGAACCTAGAAAAGTTTGTATTGAATGAGGTAAAACGAGACCCAGGAAGACAAATGCTGTGTGTTCTCTTTCGTCTGTGGTTCCTAGCTCCAAATCCTCAGATGGGAGTACAGAGCATGGAGTAACCACAAAGACCAGGCAATTATAAAGAGACCATGGGCCACAATGGTGGGCATCTGGGAGTGGGATAGCAGAGTAAGGTGGTATGAAGTGGGAAACAGTAACAGGAAGGGGGCTTCAACTAGGGAGGAGAGCAGGAGGAGGAGGAATGGGAGACAAGGTTGTTTGATAAAACCTGAAGGGATCACATAGCTTTATAGTTACCTAAAATTACACATAATACATATAAATATACACATAGACCTTATAAATATTTACTATATAAAATATGTACAAAGTTATAAAATATACACATATATCTTAAAGTTAAACTACTTGAGCTGGAGAGCGCTCCTCACAAGAACCATAAAGTAATTCTCAGCAATCTTGAGTTGCCTGTGCTTCTTGGTCTATGGGTGGGGCACCGTGTTACCATGTTACTATGTCTATGGGTAGTGTACTTGTTCAGGGCTTCCTTAGACAGCCATATTGTTGAGGTATCATAGGTGAAGCTTCTCTGTCATTTCCAGGGGACATACTCTCACAGCATATTTCCTGGCCCTCTGGTGCTTAAATCTTTCTGGCCTCTGTTCCACAAAGTTCCCTGAGCATTAATTAGCTGCAGGAGTTGTGTTGTAGATGGATTCACTGGGGCTGAGCACTCTGCAATCAGTGCGTTTTGACCAGTTGTGGTCTTCCAGAATGATCTCTGTCTTTTGCATAGGACAGTTTCTGCCTGCAGAGCACGAGCTAAAATGGAAGAATTTAAAATGCAGGCTAGCGTATGTGTTTCCAGACCTGCTCAGCCATTCATCAGTAGTCGGGGGTCTCTGAGAGGATGTAGACGTGGTGGGAGGTTACTAACGAATCCCTATCGGTCTCCTGGTGGCTACAAAGGTTTCGATAGTTACAGAGGACCCTCTTCAGCTTCCAATGGGAATTACAGCCAACTGCAGCTGCAAGTTAGAGAATATCCTGGAACACCGTACAGTCAAAGGGATAATTTCCAGCAATGTTTAGGGACATCTAGTGGTCTTCAGGCAAATTCAAGAGCAGGGTGGAGCGACCCCTCTCAGGTGAGCAGCCCACAGAGAAACAGCGAGAATTTTAACAGTGGAGATTCTGGGCAAGGAGACTCCCAGAGCATGACCCCTGTGGATGTGCCAGCGACAAGCCCAGCAGCTGCCATCCTTCCAGTACACATCTATCCTCTGCCTCAGCAAATGAGAGTTGAACATCCAATCTGGCTCCTGGAACTTTAGACCAACCTATTGTGTTTGATCTTCTCCTGAACAACTTGGGAGAAACCTTTGATCTTCAGCTTGGTAGCTTCAATTGCCCAGTGACTGGCACGTATGTATTCATTTTCCACATGCTAAAACTGGCTGTGACTGTACCATTGTATGTCAACCTCATGAAGAATGAGGAGGTCTTGGTGTCAGCCTATGCCAATGATGGTGCTCCAGACCATGAGACGGCTAGCAACCATGCCATTCTCCAGCTCCTCCAAGGAGACCAGATACGGTTGCGCTTACACAGGGGAACAATTTAAGGGAGTAGCTGGAAAGACTCTACATTTTCAGGCTATCTTCTTTATCAAGATTGACATTCAGCTCAGAGTAAAAGAATGAAGTTCTTACTAGTGGATCTAAGGAAAAGTAATCCTTACCCAGTTGGGGAAAATATTTTGTTCCTAGAGGAAGAAGGAGGTCCTTGCTTCTCTGTTTTTCTCTTTATGTAAAAACTTTGAAGTGGAATGACAATTAGCACTGATCTGGCACTTTATAAATTGTGATATAGCCTTGCTAGTCACACAGTGAAGGGTATTGTTTGCACTTAACCCTCAACTGTGTTAAGGGTCAGCTTCCTGAACTGACTGCCTCAACTTCAGACAAGTTACAATGCCTTGTTGTGCCTCAATAAAAAACTCAGGCTGGAAAAAATGCAGGCTAGCACCCACTTTTTATAGTGAGGAATCTTGAGGGTTTATGGGTGGCTGAGTGTAAGATCTAAGCACTCGGCAGTTCTTGGCCCTGGATGTGTCTTTGACATCTTGAACAGCAGATCAGGAGAGCAGAAGCTTTTCTTCAAAATCAGTTTCCCTGTTAGTGCATTTAGGAAAGGGGAAAAGATCCCAGCTGTCCCTCCTTCAACTTTGAAATTCCATCAAAAGGAGGAAGAAGGTGTCACGATTACAAGAACATTTAAAACCATGCTGACTTTGACTACAGACTAGACAAAAGAAGAGAGTGGGGACTAACAAGCCTATGTTGATGCCCAGCAAGGGAAGGCTGCTTCTCCCTGGGAAAGCTGGCTAGTGTACTTTTTCTTTTGTTTTGTTTTAATTCTCTTTTTTTAATCTTCTCTGTCAATTATTTTGTTTCTTAAAAGAACTAGATCTGAATTACATGTTAGGTGCTACATGGAGACAAGTCTTTCTGAACTGCCAGAAAACTCAGAGTTACTCTCCAGCAGGAGAAGGCTTTCTGCTAAAGAACAGAGACACACATTGTCCCACCCTTTCAAAGTTCATTCAAATGGGTCTGCCAATCCCTTGAACAGGAACATACTTCAGGACAGCTACTATGTTCTGGAGACTTTAGGAACTAGGACAAAGTTTACTTCAACTTTGTGTAGGTCAGCACAGTGGTCTCTCTGCCCATTGTCCACTCTCACCCCTCAAGAATATCTTCCTCCACAATGGTCCCCTTCAGCCACTGCTCGCTCGCGCTCTCTCTCTCTCTCTCTCTCTCTCTCTCTCTCTCTCTCTCTCTCTCTCTCTCACCCTTGAGAGAGCCTCATCCTATTCTGTAATGAATTCTGCCTGTCTTGACATTATGTTCTGCATGCCTCATTATTTGACAGAGATGGTACACCAGGGAGCCAAGGTGAGACCAGACAGGACCCTAGGAGCACACTCTCCACAATAAGTAGGGCAAGAACACAAGAGACAAAAAAGGAAATAGAATGGAGTGCTTGACTACCTCAAGAAGCCAGTGAGATCTGTCAGGAGGTTTCACTCAAAGACAAAAAAACGGGTGTTCCTTCAGAAGAATGGGAGGCTTCTTCCAGGAGAGGCTATTGATAAGGCCACAGATGAAAAACCAATTAAATGATGGATTCTAACAAATGATCTTCTCAGACCACCATGGGACAAAGTCAGAAAAAAATCAAAGGAAAAGAGCACTCACCTCTAATCCCAGCACTCAGGAGGCAGAGGCAAGGGGAGCTCTATGAGTTTGGGGCCAGCCTGGTCTACACAGTGAGTTTCAGGCCATCTATGAGCTACATACTGAGACCCTGCCTGGGGAAAAAAATCAAAGTAAAATAGTTCCATAGTCATTGAAACTACATAATACAGTCTAAAAAAAGTCAATGACCTATTATGAGAGAGTTCACAGAATACTGGACATGGGTTAGAAGCCTGACCCACTACAGAGTATCCACAGTGCATTGGAAGGAACCTGGGTACCAGGCCCACCGCAGACAATTCAGAGTATGCTGAGTAAAGGCTTGGGTGCCTAAGCCAACATTACAGACACCCCAGAGAGTGCTCAGCAGAGTCAGGTCTAGTGCCCATGGGTCCACACTTTCCTGCCTCTAGTGTACAAATAGTACCCAACAAAATGCCTGCATAGTTAAAAACCAAAACATTCCCAGCA